TCGTACGGATTTTCAAATCGAGTATACAGAAAGCAAGTGAAACACAGGGTTTCGCAACACGGGTTCTTAACACAAACTTGTGTGCGCGCTTTTGCACATTCGGAAGGGAACCGCATTTTTTTGTTGGTATAAATCGGGCCTCGCGCGCACGCGTGTCGAAATCGTTCGAACGCTCTTGCGCGCGTGCCGTCGCGAGATTCCTTTGCGGCAAATTGGGCGATGTGCACGCGCGCGCGTCGTCGCGCACGCATGCCGAAATCCGTGAAACACCTGGGTTACGTCGCGATTTCAAAACATAATGTCCAAACACATGCAGAAAACATGGTTTCGCAACATCAGGTTTCAAAGAAAGCGTGCGCTCGCGCTCGGGAATTCTTGAAACAACCTTTTTTCCGTTCCAGCATTTTTCGTGCTATTCTGCCAAACGGGCCTCCCGCGCGGCATGTCGACATCATTCGCACGCCCTTGCGCGCGTGCTGGGGGGGGGGGTACGGGGGGGGGGGGGGCACGATCCGTGTCAAACAATACCAGGCCACTGTCGCGCGTCGGCCGCGCGCGCATGTCGAACTTTTTTCCCAAGCCTTCATCACCAACACGAGGACGCCGTCATCGTCGTCGGCGTGAACAGCATCGGCGCCCGCACTGGCCGCGCTTTCGTCGTTGTCAACATCGTCACCGACATCGCTACTATCATCATCGTGTCTACTGTTGTCGACGTTGCCATGACACCGCGCCCACCCAAGTCAGCCGCCGACTCGCAATGAAGTGTCCGCTGGGATGCACCCAACGGTCAGCGCCACCGCGGTCGCGTCGGTCGCGCCAAACTAGCTGACCGCTGCGCGCGCGTGCTTGGGTTGGCGCGGCCGCGGAGATGCACTAGCCAACGCCAAGCATGCATCGCAATCGCCACAGCATGGTTTTGCAAACCAGGTTTCGGGTGGGCTGGTGGGCTGATTGCGCGAGCAGTGGATTGTCAACTCACTGCGAACAAAAAAAAATTGCACCACGTAGAATGCACCACGTAGGTTTTCGTTTTCATGAGAAAAATAGAATCTACCCCCTTCCCCCCCCATGGGTTATCGCTCCCCCGTGGGGCACCTCAAATTACATATGGTTCTACCTTATCGCTCATGTTCCACATGAATTCATACCATCCCAGCTAAGCGGGTTATCGCCTCCCCCATCCCTGTCAGACAATACTATGCGCGCGCACCCGCTTATCGCACGACCTATCTTTTCAATGACCCCTTGCAAACAACTGCACAACACCCGCGCGCGCACATGCCGAAATCATACGAGCACGCACCAGTTCTGCAAACAACATTCTCTTACAACGAGCACAGCACAAACTAACATTTGCCGTCGCGGATCTTGCGCGTTTTCGGTCCGCGCGCGAAGGCCGGAGCCAGAAGAGAAGCATCCGATTGCAGTAATCTCGTCTATAGGGTCGGCATTCGCAACTCGCCACGCGGTGCCTCTGCGTGGAGCCACTGTGCGCTGGGTGCGCGCACCCGTGCCAAACAATAGTGCCACGCGGGCCACACGCGTGCGCCGCCATGCGCGCGTGTCGAAACCATTCCAGCACTCGAGGTTTCCGAAAGATTTCAAGAGAGAACTCTTCAAACGCACAAGAATAACACATGTCTCTTTCAACAAAACACTGGTCGGGTTTCTCGAATTCCCGTGCGCGCCTTCCTCACTTTGGCATCACCGCCGTCATCATCATCGCCAATGGCCGCCATAGCCTTTATCTCCGACGCATCGATATCATCATCATCATCATCATCATCATCATCATCATCATCATCATCATCATCATCATCATCATCATCATCATCATCATCTTTATCGTCGTCACCAGCATCGGTGCCGTCACTGGCATTGCCGTCTTTATCGTCATCATCGCAACTACCATTGCTGCTATCATCTTCGTTGCCGATGTTGTCGGCGTCATCATGATACAGCGCCCGCCCGAGTCACCGACCCACACTGGCCTTTGACGCGCGCTGGGAAGTTCCCATCGGTAAACGCAATTGCGGTTGCGTCGGTTGTGCCAAACCAGCTGACCGCTCTGCGCGCGAGGTTGCGCTTGCTAGCGCAGCCGCAAACACGCGCCGACTGGTGTCACATTGTCGCCGCAATCGTGGCCGCATGATAGTTAAGCAGATCAATGCGCGGGTGGGATGACTGCGCGAGCAATAATGGTATGCCGAGGTTGCGCCACGTTGCAGCCCGTGTCGCCACGTTGGTGCACCGTTCGCTTGCTGGGTATGCCAAGGATGCGCCACGTTGCTGCCCGTGCCGCCTTTTGGGCGTCTTGCGCTTGGGGGGGAATGCCGAAATTGCGCCACCTTGCCACCCATACGGCCTCGTGGTCGCAACGTGCGCTTGGGGGGTACGCCGAGGTTGCGCCACAATGCCACCCGTGCCTCCTCGTTGGCGCCCCGTTCGCTGGTCGGGTACGCCGAGGTTGCGCCACGTTGTTGCCCGTGTCGCCTCGTGGGCGCCCGCTTGGTGCCCCGTTCACTTGGGGGGGGGGGGTATGCCGAGGTTGCGCCACGTTGCAGCTCGTGCCGCCTCGTGGGCGACCCGTTCGCTGGGGGGAAAGGTCTGCCGAGGTTGCGCCACGTTGCCGCCCGTGACGCCTCGTGGGCGCCCCGTGCGCTTAGGGGGTATCACGAGGTTGCGCCACGGTGCCGCCCGCGCCGCCTCGTGGGCGCCTCGTGAATGCCGCGTTTGCTGGGCGGGTCTGCTGAGGTTGCGCCACGTTGCCACCCGTGCCTTCTCGTGGACGCCCCGTGCTCTGAGCTTATGCGACTTAGCTTTCACGATATAGCTTTCACCGCGTAGCTTCCTCCACATATATTGCACATTATAGTTTGCATCACAAATCTTACACCTCGTAGCTTGCACCTGCAGTTCACACCACCCCGCGTACACGACATAGCTTGCACCACACAACTCGCACCGCATAGTTTTCACCTCATCAGCTCACACCACATAGCTTGCACCGCGTAGCTCGCATCTCCGCAGTGCAATGACGCACTGCTTGGGGTCCACGAAGGTTAACACCCTGTACTCCAGGACCACACTTTTGTTTCAGATGTTTTCGCGCATCTCGCAATTCTTTCGCGTGTGTGCGGGACCGAACATTCGACGTCGGCGGCGCTCTGGGAGGTGATGGTGGGAACCAGTGAGAACTTTGGTGCCCACTCGGTTTCCCAGATATGGCAGAAACCGGCGCATTCTCCCAAACTGTCGGCCACCTCTTTCCCAACATGGTGGAGATCAGACATAATTTCGGGCAACGCCTACACATTTATCCTCAGGGAAGGCTTTGACAGGAGAGTGTGACCCCCTGTGCGCAAGAATGTCGAAAGGCGAACGTGCCTGAGCCTTCGGGTTCCCATAGGGTTCCCCGATCACTTCGCTTTGGTTCGCCCTGTTTCGCGGAACTGCTCTGCGTAGTATTGCATCGCTTTGCCTAGCGTTGCATTGCCTCGCGTAGCATCACAATGCTTTGCTTCAATGTGCATTGCTCATGCATTGTTTTGCAAAACATTGTTTTATTTCGCACTGCATCTGTGACTTGCTTTGCATTGCCTCGCTTTGCCATAAATGAAGAGGGAAGCACACAGAGGGAGGACGAGGGTAAAGATAATAACGATGGTGACGAGGAGATGGACGACTAGGACGAGGAGAAAGACGACGAGGCTGAGGAGAGGGAGTACAAGAAGACGGGGAGGACAAGCTGAAGAGAGATGACGAGGGACAATAGGACGACGACGACTACGAGCACGAGGACGAAGACGACCGAATCAGAGGAGGATTATTCGGAGGAAGGCGATGACGGAAAGGAGGAGGAGGATGAGGAGGAGGAGGAGGAAAGAGACACCAGAGAGGCACAAGAAGATGAGGACGGTGAAACTGAAGACGAGGAAGAGGATAATGCGTAGAACGAGAAGGCGACCATCAGAGGCGACGACGGCGGGGAGGACGAGCGGGAGCAAGAGGACGACGGAGAAGAGAAACGCGAGCAAGACTTGTGGAGGCCACGTGGGGAGCTCTTGGGGCAACGTCACAAAATGACCGGGGGGGAGCACGCTCTGGGCACTCTTCGGGCGTCTGAAGCCCCCGCGCCGTCAACTGCGTGGATTTGGGCGCCGGCACCGGCGCAGCTGTGGACGCAATCAGGAGGGTGGGCCTGCGCACGCACGCAGACACGCCTGTGCACAGCATGTGCGCGCGCCCGTCGCCAACGCACTGCCTGTGCACACCACGGGGCCTCAGCTAACTATAGGGCCAGTGTACCCCAGGCCAGTGCAGGTAAAGCGCAAGCCTGCTCGCGTACACGCAAGCCTGGTTGCCTCCCCTGGGGGCAGGGGGCGCGATTACACCACCAATTTGCTAACGGCCAGCTGAAGGCCCTCCCTGGCGCGCGCGCCCCCGGGAATCGTCATTCGGGTATGACGGAAGACACTTTTTTTGGCCTAGCTCTTCGTCGTCAGACCTTCACGATGCGATTAACAGGCCAGAAGGTGGGATGTGGGCGCTATTTCGAATCGCTCGCTGGCGTTCAGGTCGTTCGCTCCACGAGGACAATGTGACTTACAATCGCTAGGGGTAACAATGGTGATGATGAACGCGCCTCTTCTTGACGACAATCACAGTGGATCAGACAGCTGCAACACGCAGTCGTCATGCACAGCGAACGCGTGTTGCGTTTAGAGGTGGCGCTGATCGACACTGGCTTCTGGCGAGGTCGGCTGCTTACCATCCTGTGGGTTCCTCGGCCTTGCAAAGTGGTGGTAATGATGAACATGATGGTCCTGCATATCACAAAGACGTGCACAGACGATCACGTTGATGGAGAAGATGCGTGTTGGAATCACGACTTTTGGGAAAGTGCACATGTGATAATGATCATTGTGTCCTAACCATTACTGCTGCAACTCTGCCTGCGCCGAGCGCTCAACACACTGAACGCCGCCAGCTCAGTCCTATAATCTGGGCCACGAGTTGCATCTCTTTCGCAATCTCGATGAATATCCACCGCATGGCGCATGGCGTTCAAATACTTGGATCCTCCGTAACGAATGCACGACCCGGCGTGAATGAAATATCCGCCACCGCGTCCTTCAGCACGCAATGAAATAATGCTGCGCCAGATGCTGCCCATACGGCTCCCGTGAATTTTCTAAAATCCCCCTCGCGTCCAAACTCACGACCCTCGCTTCCCGACGCTGCGTGGGCATCCCGAGGCCTTGCAGACGGCCTTTCTGGTGTGCAAGCTGTTCGCCGGGGCTTCCAATGTGGGTCTGGAGGGCCAAAAACATGCCGAAGAGGCCGTAAGGCTGACCCAGCAGGCCCCAAGGGAGAACCCCCGATAGGTCAGCACAGAGGCCGTGAACAATCCAAGCCATCGAAACACATCTGTTCCCGCCCATTTCATACGTTGGGGGTCTTGTTATCAAGGTCATGCCTCCGCCGCGGCACTCCGTTATTTCGTCCCGCTCTCCCCCGTCTCAACCTTGCTCGATCACTCATAGACCACTCATACTCAAACTGTGATCAGACCACTCACACGTAGACCCGCTCGCACTCAGACTCAATCATACTCAGATCGGCTAACTCATACTCGTATTCAATCATGGTCAAGCCCACTCATAAACAAGTGTGTGCTGCCACTCAGACGTACTCACACTCATACCCACTCGTATTCATGCCCCGACATACTCATATCTCAGACCAGTCATACTCAATCTCACTCAAGATCAGACTCACTCGCGCTCAGACTTCCTCACACTCAGATCAAAGCATACTCAGACTCACTCATCTCCATGCTCACTCATACTCAGCTCTACTCAGACCCACTCACACTCATATTCCACCGTGCTCCTAATCATTAATGTCCACTCGTAGTCACACTCTGGTATAATGGAATGGCCGTTTTCGGAAGTAGGAATGCCTTGCTTTTCAAAGTCCCACGGCCACCGTGATGTTGCAAGCGTCACAGTTCGCCTTCCCAGGGGAAGGGGGTATTGCACGGGCCTGTTCGCGTCAAGATTGGTGGGGCCTCTCAGGTAAACTGGATGTTGTCGGAAACATACGCGACTCCGTTCAGGGCCTCATTACCACCGCGATGTAGCAAGCATCGCGCTTGGGCCTCCCAAGAGGCAGACGCCATGCAGTATTGCACGGGCCCGTTCGCGTCCAGATTGGCGGGGCATCTCAAGGTAAACGGGCAACTTTCGGAGGGACATGCGTCTCCGTTCAGAGGATCATGATCGCCGCGATGTACCAAGCATCGCACTTGGGCCTTCCTTGGAGAAGCCGCCATGCGGCATTGCACTCGCCCGTTCGCGTCCAGATTGGTAGGGTCTCCAAAATAAGTGGTTGTTTTTTTCGGAAGTAGGCGCGTCTCCGATCATAGCCCGATTACCTCTGAGATGTAGCAAGCATCGCGCCTGGGCCTCTCAATGGGGGAGTCGCCATGGGGTATTACACGTGGCTGTTCGCGTCATGATTGGTGGGGCCTCCCAAGCCAACTTGCACTTCTCGGAAATAGACGCGTCTAAGATGATAGGCCCGTGATCACCGCGATGTAGCATTCATGGCACTTTGGATATCCAAAGAGGTAGCCAGAAAGGGGGTCTTGCACGGGCCCTTTCGTGGCCAGATTGCTGGGCCATCTAATGTAGAATGACAGTTTTCGGAAGCTAGTGTCTCTGCTCAGAGCCTCATGACGCTCGCGATGAAGTAAGCATCGTGCCTGGGCCTCCCACAAAGGATACGCCAGAGGGGTGTTGCACGGACCGGTTTGCGTCCGGACTGGTGGGGCCTCTCACATGGAATTGCTGATTTTCGGAGGTACATGTATCGTCGTTCAGAGCACCATGACCACCGCGACGTAGCAGGCATCACGTGTGACATCCCAAGGCGGAGCCGCCGCAGACTTGCACGGGTCCGTTCGCGTCCAATTAGCGGGGTCTCCCAGCGCCCCACTTGTAAGATCCCCAGCGAGTGTTCAAACTTACTCGTAACCTGGTCCAATCCCCTTCAAACCCACACGTATCATAACCGCGTATATTCATCCACGCATGCTCCAGCTCACTCGCACCTGGACCCATTCACATCCAGGCGCTCGTGCGCAGACCCACTCATGCCTAGCCACTCGTATTCAGCGTCGCTCACGTTCAGGCCCACTTGCGCCCAGATTTCCAGAAGAGAAAACGTGAAACCATAGATGTGCATATGGGGGTCTCCGCGTAAAGTGTTTCCGGGGCTTTGCATGCCAAGAGACCCTGCGTGCTCGAGATGGCCCCGATACAGCCCCAGAGCGCCCCAATAACTTCCCAAGAAGGCCCCAGAAGGACTCTCGGATGGTCTGACGCCTCCAGGAGGGGCTCAAGAGGGCTGGCGAGCCCCTGCCTCTGCGGTTTCCTCCCTCTATTCCGGCACGTTGCAATCTTTTCTCGTTCGTGGAGACGGCCGTTGCATGTCGCCAGACATGTGGGCGGCGATCCAAAGCGGGTCTTGCGCGAGATGACGTAGCGACCTTACGCAGTGGCTAACGCGGTCCGCCGGCGCGGCACGCTACATTGGAAACGAGGGCGCTTACACGCGACCTCACGCGAGCAACTTACGCGCCAAAGTCGGCGCAGTCGAACCCGTTATTTTTTGGCGCCGCTCATGTGGAACTGGGAAAGAGGCGCATCACACGTGACGGCTCAAGGAACTGGGGGGAATCTGGCCTTCAAGGCCAACGGACGACCCAGCCGTGTATGGCGGCCCTCTGGATCCAGGGGACGACAGCTGTCACGTGCGATACTGTCCTGGGCGGTTGGTCCGCTCAGGGCACTGGGGAGAGTCTGGCCTTCAAGGCCGACGGACGTAGGAGGAGGAGGAGGAGGAGGAGGACGGAGGAGGAGGACGGAGGAGGAGGAGTGCAAGTACCCAAAAGAGGAAGAGACGAGGGCAAGCGGGCAAGAAGCGAGACGAGGGCAAAGACTGTCCGCTCCTGTCCGACTACCGCGCGACTACTTCCAGAGCGATGCTTTGATGGCCCGCGACACTTCAGCTATCGAAGCTGGGGTCGGCGCGGCGTGCTTCATTTCGTAAAAGCAGTTAAAGGCGAGCGCAATCCACTGAGTCAACCGCATTGACGAGATCTCGTTTGCAGGCTCAGACGGATAGGCTGCGACGGGACCAACGTCCCAAGTTGTAAGCGCATTGTGGAGGTTGGGCGAGACGGTGGAGCAGGGGAGGCTCAGGAGGACCGAGCGGGCGAGGTAGTGGGGATTGAATCAGGTGCTGCTGGGCACCCTACCACGCACGACTTCTGCAGGCGAACGTGCATGCTATGGGGCGTCGTCCATTCACCTGCGAGTGTCTTATATACCGTCCAGCGACAGATCATGCGGGCAGGGTGCATGGCATTCGTGCGAGCATTGCAGCGCGTGGCGAGTTCTGGGAGCGGGCGCAGCTGATGGAAGCCCCAGGCTGCGATACACTTCACGAGCGTGACTGAGGATGGCAATGAGAAGGAGGCCCGCTGCAGCGTGAGCGCAACCGCGCGCTGCACCTTTGGGCGGTGCGGTGGCTCAGCAATCGGGGCCTCGTTAAATTTGCTGGCAGCTGGGCGGTTCGCCGCGGCCGCGGCAGCTGCAAGCAACGGATCGGCGCTGAACAATAGCTCCCGTTCTCCACGGGGCGTGAAAGTGGCTGAGCAAGTGGCAGCGGCGACGGCTGAAATCTGAGCTGAGAGCGGGGCAGAAGGCGGGCGCCATTCAGCAATGGCACTGATATCTACTTTGCGAAGTGCGACAGGCAGGAGATTGTGCATCTTAAGGGAAATGTGATGTTCACTGCGGGCGAGCTTCTGATTGGGCGGAACGGACCGCGGGAAATAGCTGAGCACTGATACGACTGTTGTATTATGTAGGCGAGCGGTGGCAACACTGCCACTCTGCGTGAGCTGAAAAGAATGCGCCCCAAGTGTGGCGACAGCCCACTTGCGGGGCTTCGCGGGGAGGGGCGCAAGCAACTGAGCTGCGGCAAAGGGCTCACTGTCGGCGCACAGCGTGTTGAACGAGAGCGTGGGGAGGCCAGTGTCGACGGCGCAGCCGCCCAAGAAGCGTTTGTCGTAGTCGTGCATGCCGTTGTAGGTCTCGACGAACGAGGCGGTGTGGCGAACGGGCAGGTCCATGGCAAACATCCATGCCGATCCGCCCACTGGGTAGCCCTGGGCCGCCCCAAAATCGAGCGGGAACATGAAGTAATGACCGCCATCAGCTTGGGGGGAGCTGTTGGGGGCGAAGTCCAGCTGGCGAGAGAGGTTCACCAGTCTTCTAGGGCACCGAGGTACTCCAGCGACGTGAGGAGCCAGCTACGGCCGAGGGGCAGGGGCGCAGCCGCGAAGTCGAAGCTGTTGAAGACGAGCATGTGCTTGTCGGCCTCTGGTAGAACTCCTGCTTGTCGCATCTCGATGTCGAAGTTGGCGGCGTGCTTGGTGAGGTTGCGGCCCACGACAAGGTCTTGCTGCGAGTAATGGGCCCGCTCTGCCACGGCGGTTTTGGTGAGGAAGTTGGCCGCATCAGCGATGGCCTTGATATCGGTGTACTTGAGGATCCGCGGGCAAGTGTCCACAGGGAGGCAATCCGAGGTGAGCTCGCCTGTGATGTTGTCGCGCTTCGGCAGGATCGCGTGGCCGGAGTCGTACAGGTCGAGGGTGGGGACGGAGTTGGGGCAGGGATGCCAGATGGTGTCCTCCATCAGGTCCAGGGGCTCGCCGACGGCAAGCTGGTCGCAGCGCGGCAAGAGGACGAGCCCGTCAACGGACAGCGGAGCGCGGAACAGAAAATTTTGATGTGCAGCTTGGCGGGCGCGCCGACGACAATGAGGGGGTGGCTGAGCATGTGCGTGACGATGTATTGCTGGGTCTCGATGTCGCGGCACAGCGCGTCCACCTGCATCTTGAACCCGGCAGAGGCCGTGAGTGCGAAGAGTCCGACGTCGTTGGTGGGGAACTTGGCGGCGAGCTCGGTGGTGGAATGCAGGCGCCAGGCGAAGCGAATGTTCTGCCGCCAGACCACCCAATGATGGCTAGACGCGCCACGTGGCCTCCGCCGTGTCCGCGAAGAGCGACTGGAACGACGAGAGGATGGCTCCGCGCTCAAGGTCGCGGAAGATGGCGTACTCGAACGCCTTCTCGTTCCACTCCAGGATGGCGGGGTCGGCTTGACCCTTGACGTCGAGGCGCGCGACTGGCATGGCGTTGCAGTGGATCTCGCCCTTGGCTCGGTAGGCTCTCCAAGACTTTTGCGGATGCCGATGTTGAAGGAGCTGGGGAAGTTTCTTGCATTGGATCTCGGTGCGAAGTTGCTTAGGCGACTTGTCAGGGTTGAGATAGATGTCCGTTGGTGTGCCCGAGGTGTCGACAGATGTGAAGCGCTTCCGCCTGCCTCCCGCGTCGCGAAGGGCTCGTGGGAGCGCCATAGCGCGCGGGGTGGCCACATCGCGCCCTCCTTTGACTTGAAGCACAAATCTACGAGCGGGCGCGTCTCCGTGGAGTTCGACAGCGTCTGAGCCCAGGTTGGCGGAGGCGATCCACTCCTGAAGGTCATTGAGGAGCGCGTCGGGCGCGATGAGCCGCTGAGCCCCGATGGTGAAGATCGTGGGGTCGATCTCGCGGTCCCAATCAGCGAGCTTGGTGAGATCCGTGATCGGCGCCTGGGCCTCAGCGAGCGCGAGGGTCTCACGCATCTGGTCGATCTGCAGCCACATCTTCTTGTGTTCCTCAGCCTGTCGATCTTGTTCTCTGCGAGTGCGGGCGACAACATCATGGAGGGTGTCGACGCGTCGTTCGGTAGCTTGAACTTGCTGTGCGAGCAGTTGGCGAAAGCTTTCGCGTGAATCATTGGGCAATATGTTGGCTTGAGCTTGCAATGTACTAGCAACGTGCGCAACTTGAGCTTGCATGAGATCTTGGAGAGCTTTGTCGAGATCGGGGTCCAGACCTGGAAGACGAATGGGAGTGCCTGGCGTGGCCGTGTCGGTATCGGCGGTGGTTCCGACGGCGGGAGCTCCTCCAGCGGCTGCTGCGCCTCCAGGGCGCCAAGGGTCAGCGGCGGCGAGAGGAACGTGACGTAGAGCTTCACCAGGAGGTTGCGGGGGTGGCACAACCCCTTCGTCTGCTTGAAATTGGCGTGCGTTGGCAGCGGCGGCAGCGCGTGCTGGAGCTGCAGCTTCTTCTTCTCCAATGTCCATGGCGATGTGAGGTGGCTGCTGGTATGATCGAGCGGATGGGCGACACGAGCGGGCGGCATGTCCAGATGCGCGGCCCGATCGTGGTGCATCCTGAGTAGCGGGGACGGCGTCGCCGAGCGAAAACATGGTGGGAAGCCCTGCAGCTGCTCGCCCACTTTTATCAGCACGGTCAGGGAGAGCTCGTGCAGCGCGATCTTGACCGAGACGTTCACGCTCTCGACGCCGGGCCTTTCTTCTTCGGCTAGCAGATGGTGCGCTTCGGGAGGTAGAGCGATCTTCACTGGAGGATGACATGGCTGAGACTGATGACTGCTGACGAGCGAGCTGCTGTTCTGCTTCAGGAAGTTGATGGCGCGAGCGTCGGACTCCAGGGCCTTCGCGGGACCACCACGTGGAAGAAGCTGTGGCTGGGGAGCGAGCAAGTCGACGTCCAGCGGGTTATGGATGTGGGCGACGGCGACGTCGGACCGGCCGAAGTCCAGCTTGTGCGCGGCGACGGGAGAAGGAAGGCACGACCGCGCAATATGAGAGGCAGCCTGCAGTGCCAGAACAATGAGCAAGGATGGGCGGCCGCAAACCCCTGAGTGTGGCGGCAGGAAGCTTGGGTGCCAGCTCACCCCTGGTGGCTGGAAACAGTTGGGAACTGGCCTCGGATCAGAGGTCTCCATGCGGCCGCAGCGCGACATGGTGACTTGAGCCAAAATGGCTACGGAAGGAGGAGGAGGAGGAGGAGGAGGAGGAGGAGGAGGAGGAGGAGGAGGAGGAGGAGGAGGAGGAGGAGGAGGAGGAGGAGGAGGAGGAGGAGGAGGAGGAGGAGGAGGACGGAGGAGAAAGAGGAGGAGGAGGAGGAGGAGGGGGAGGAGGAGGATGAGGAGGAGAAAGGAGGAGGAGGAGGAGGAGGAGACAAGGCACTGGGGAGAATCTGGCCTTCAAGGTCGACGGACGAGCGTGCCGCGGATGACGGCCCTCCGCATCCGGGGGGCGACAGCTGCCGCATGCGGCGCTGCGCCGGGCACGGCGGGCCCTCGACCCGGTCGCCACGCGGAGCGCCGGGATGACACGGCGGGGGAGCCTTTGCCGCAGGCGCCTGGACATGACAGGGATTGCAATGATGGATGCCTGTAGGGTCTTGCCAGCGTCCGCCGAGAACACGAATGCTGCGAGAGTGGCCATCGTGCAGGCGTGGAGGGAGTTGTTGTGCGGATCGACGTAGGGGCCCAAGAAGAGAAACGCCAGCGCTAGAACGACAGCCATCATGCCCGATATCCACGGGCGCTTAATTGCATAGTATACAAATCCAGCCTTGAACAGCATGATGAATATACTGAAAAGACCAGCGTCGATATTGAAATGGACGAAAGCACCTTTCGCACCAATAATCTCACCATGTATCTGCTCTGTTTCCCATTCTTCCATCACCCGCATTACGCGGACGGACTCGTCGATTCGATCGATCTCGCTTGAAGCGAGGTAGCGAATCGAGTCGCTGAACACTGCTGACTGGCCTGGCTGGTCGTCCTGCAGTCTGCTCAGAGCCGTGCTCGAAGCCTCTTGAAATGCTGGTGCGGTCGAGCGGATGCGACGCTCTACTCTTGCTGGTGCCCCGTAGGGCCTCACCAAAACAACTTCATACAAGCAAGCCGCTTCGCGAACATGGTGTCTAATCCGCCACCGTGCTCAGGACACGCACCTAGTGCAGTGCCGCCCAGTCCTTGATTGCCCTCAGGCTTTGAGCGCTGCATGCTCACATGGCTTTCAGGGGCTAAGGGCCCTCGATCTCCAGGTGCTTCCAGGGGCCCTCGCGGACTCTTGCTCGCTGCCAGGGCGCCCCGCGTGACTTGTCCCGAAGCCCAGGGGCAAGCTTGGTAACCTTAGCTTCTAATACGATCCAAGATGGCCCCATGGCCCCGTCTCGGGGCCCTCTTGGGAATCTGTTGGGCAATCTTGGGGGCGGGCCCTGGGGACAGACCAAAACATCCACAAAACATTTATCCCGGCGAAAGGCCCAACCCTATGTAATTTGAGTTCTGGGTTGTGGCTATCGCTTTTGGTGGAGCTTCCTATGGTGGGGCTCCCTATGCGACCACGAAGCGTGTGAAGGGTGTGCCGAATTTGGTGGGGAACCGCATACGAACTGCGCCGCGAAGGCTCTCGGTGGAGCTCCCTATGGGGCCACGGAGCGTGTGAGAAATATGCCGAAATAGGTGGGGAACCGCCTGCGAGCTGCGCTACGGATGCACTCGGTGGAGCTCCCTATGGGGCCGCGAAAGCGCGAGGGGTGTGCCGAAACGAGCGTGACGCCCACATGTGAACATGTGGACTGCGTCACAGAGGCCTTAGGCTGAGCTCCCTATGGGGCCACCGAGCGTGTGAGGGGCGCGCCGAAACGGGCGTGACGCCCACATGCGAACGTCGCCACTGGGGCCTTCGATGGAGCTTCCTATGGGGCCACGAAACGTATGAGGGGTGTGTCGAAACGGGCGTGACGCCCATATGCGAACTGCGCCACTGAGGCCTAGGTTGAGCTCCCTTTGGGGCTACGAAACGTGTGAGGGGTGTGCCGAAACGGGCGTGACGCCCACATGCGAACTGCGCCACGGAGGCACTCGGTGAAGCTTCCTATGAGGCCACGAAACGTATGAGGGGTGTGCCAACATGGGCAGATGCTGATGGGATGAGGGTGGGGGGGTAGGAGGAGTGAGTGGGGAGCGTGGGGCGCTGTCTCTTCAAAACGACGACCCAAATTCGCACGATGGTTAAGACTATAAAAACCAGTTGCTAGCTTGACTTTTTCAATTCCCACTTTTTCGGCCTCAAGGGCGTCACGTACGCACCCACTACGGTCTCAAGGCCTGTCCCCACGAGGGGCCCCAGAGGCCCTTAAGGACGCCTGTTCTCACTGCTACGCCTTCTCTCGCAACCCAAACAACAAGGCGGGATTGGCCGAAGGCCGCCAGATAAGTTTGTCCAGGCAAATAGACATGACCACACAGTATGTAGCCAACACAGCAGCCATGACAGACGCGTAACGCTTCATGGCTAAGCCCCGACCTTCCTCACATGATAGCCGTGTATCAACTGACAGCACGCTTGAGCTTGGGCTGGTCTTCAAGCACTCGTTCGCAGTGGCGCACGCTTTGAACGCGCCTACCAGCATGTATTTCACAGCAAAGGTGGACGAAAAAGCGAACGCCTTTCGAGTCTTGAAAGAACGGGTCCCTTTTGCAACTACCCTTGGAAGTGTCCACAATAAGATGAAAATTACCGGGAGCAGCGGCTGCATCGCAAGACCCAACACGTCATCGTGGTTGACCGCGCAACCCACTGCCAATGTCGCTCGAACAGACGTCACGTCAAGATTCATGATCATGCCCATGTGCTCCACAAACGGACGGACACCGCCTTCGCCACCTTTCGTGTTCCACGATGCGCCCACAAGCTGGAAGTAAATCACCAACGCTGTCACTTTAGGCCGCATGAAGGTGACTTCAGGACTTTTGACGAATAAAACAAGTAAAGACCACCGCTGATGTATAGCCGTTCGCATGCGGGCACATGCCTGGCGGAATGCGACGAGACAGAAAAGACAGATGCAGGCAAGACCAATCATAAACTTGCCAGCGTCCTGAAGACGTGAAAGAGCACGTCGCGAGCACTGGGTGCACTCCCCTGTGCGTGAGAACGAACCAAAGCCACTCCTACATTCTGCGCAAAATGCACCAGTATAATTGTAAGAACAAAAGTCAATGGTTCCACCAGGGCACGCCGTTTCTCCACGTCGACACTTGATCTGCCATCGTTCCTTTGGCACGTTAGGGCGTGTACTATATTGCTTGTCCGCCGTCTGGTCGGATTCTTGGGTGATTCTAGGGCCCAACGAGCTCCTACGGGCTCCGAGGTCCCCCCAAAGTATCCCAAGCAGCCCCAACAAGCCTCCAAGAGATGTTTAAAAAGATCTCCAGTGAGGCCCCCGGAAGCGAAACACATCGAACATCCAATGGGAAATTCTTGTTAGGTTTTGCTCCCGGGGATTTTCGGCTTCCAGAAGCCCAAAACAGCCACCAAGACGACCTAGAACTGCCCCGAGAGAGCCCACATACGGCCCAAAGACTGCCCGAGAACCTCCGAAGGCGCAAGAAGGACTCCAAGACGGCGCCAAGGCCCGCCCAGACGTGCCCTACGAGGGTTTCGCCGAGCCTCTTCGGAAGGGCCTGGGAGCCATCGCGCATCCAAGACGGCCTTGAGGCTCCCGACGGCAGGACCCCAATGATGTCCTCGAGAGGGCCCATGAGCCCAAGAGGCCACCAACATGCTTTCAAAAGGAGAGGACGGAGGATAAAGAAAGGAAAGAGTGAGGAGAAGAATCACCGTGTTGGGAGGAATGGGTTGGGATGATGAAGGGCATGAGCAATAGCATTCAGGTGCAGTGAACGATACCTTCGGCCGCCTACGGATAGTGAAATCCTCGTTTCTCCCAGCCCCATCCTCCCAAGCCGATAAAGGTGCTCCTGAAAGAGGAGGACAATTGACGCCTCGCCCCCGTGTGCGCATGCGGCTTGCCCAATGGAGAAAGCGGAAAGAAGAGAGATGGCGGAAAGAGTAAGGAGGAGAACGAGGCTGCGTACAAAGAGGGGGTGTTCAACATCCACGCCAATTCATCAACAGAGCACTGAACTGCGCGGCCACTGTGGCCAGGTCTGCCGCAGGCATATGGATGGGGTAGCTGCTGTGAGCGTGTCCCCGCCAGTAGCCCTTCTTGGGTACAGCCTCTGCAGTTGTCTGACCAGGGCTGCTGCAGTCGAGGCCCTTCCACTCCCCAGAGCAATGCTCGCAAACAACTCCATTGAGGACGAAATCGCGTGGGCAGAACAATGTTGAGTCCACCAGTAGTTCTGATTCCCTCACCTGTTTGAACACCGATGTCTCCGATATTGTCACTATGGCAGCGTTCTGATTGCGACGACCCTGCACGACACATGTCTTCAACTCCAATGTGCAGTGGCTCTCATCTTGGACCAGGGGCAGCGATCCACGAGTGACGTCAGAGCCTCGAGCATCCAACCATCTGGGGAGGATGCCGCGCACAAACGAGTGCTCCAAATCCAGCGTGGCATCTGGACTCCGGAGAGAAAGCGCCGCCAGAGGAGAACGAAAAAAATACAACACTGGGCCTACTTCGCCATGGAGGTGCGAGCCTGTGATGTTCAGCGAGGGAGAGGTCGCCGCGATCGTCGGCCACATGCTCACCAGCCGCTCGAGGCGCCCAGATATGCACCCGAAGCTGGCAAACATCGCCTGGCGTCTGGCGTCTGTGCCTACACAGGCTACGGGCACGGGCCTGAGGACGCAATCGAGTGCCACAGCATATTTTAAGGATATGTCCTCTGTTGTCGTCTCGAAACACGTGATTCCAGTTAACGCGGTGTTCAGGTCAACACTCTCAATGCGCACGGTGCCGCTGACTTCGGTCGAAGTCGCACTGAGTGCCTGACCGATTGAGGCGGCATCGGAATCACCGAAGATGACGATTGTCCCTGATATGGATGCGGCATCTGCTTGTATCGCGAGCCCTCCTCCTCCAACAATGATGTTGCCGAGCTCAAGTGTACCCAGGATATCCGCGTACGGCGCACAAACTGCTCCTCCTTTGCCTGTGTCGGAACGCGCGTTATAGATCCCAACGCGACTGCCACTCCGCACGCTGAATTGCACTGCGTCGATGGCTCCACCATTGTACTGTGCACTCGTACCGTCGAAAGTGGCGTGGCCTTCGGCTACAAAGCTAGCCGCAGAAATGGATCCACCACCACCATCGAACATACCGTCTGCACGACTTGAGCGGAAAATAGCGTTCCCACCGTACTTTATCTCCACGACACCTTCGCTGTAGATGGAACCGCCCGAATCTTTAGCAGTCGTGTTGTCCGCCTGTCCCCGCTTGCTGGGGTGAGAAGGCGTGTGAGATATTGGGCTGCTCTCCTCCTCCTGTTCCGCTCCCAGGGGGTCCACAATGCCGCTCTAGGACGGGGGACCCAGGGGGAGGGGGAACGAGCTCCCCAACGCACCTCCGAGGCTCTCAAGGCTCCAAGATGTCCCAAAGGCCCCCTCAGACGGCTCCAACGGGCTTCAACACGCGCAAGAGGCCTCAATCATAATTCAAGAAGCCCTGGGGGACCCTGAGAAAGCCGAGAGAGGTCCCAAGAGGGAGCCTGGACACCTAAACAATTCTTTGGTTTCGGGCGATCCCCATCATGAAACTGCAGAGAACGGTCTCGAAGTCTGTCACGTGTGACTCTACGCTGCCGTATGCTGCATCGTTACTTGTGTATGGTTGTACATCTGTAATGTATTATTTATATGCGCACGTGTTGTTTCCGTGCGCTGTTTGTGCACAATCCGTAAAGTGTTAGGGTTATGGGCTCCTACTGCTGGAACAAGATGCAACACAACCGATGTCGTTGATGTGAATTCCTGTCTGCTCTACTTGCACATTGTTACTGTGTGCTCGTTGTGTATACTCTTGGTTTTGAGTCTTGATGTCTGCTCTTGTTGTCTGGTGCAACATTATGTTCTTGCTGTCCGTACGTGATGTATGTCTAGGTGTCTCTTATTGACGTGCGCTTGTCGTATTTCTTTGACGTCCGTTCTCATCGGTGCGCACTGTGTGTTCAGTTAGGTACCCGATGTATGCTGTTGGTGTATGCTCTTCGTGCCCAATCTTTGCCTCCAGTCTTGCTGAATGTTGTAGACGTGGTCCTCTGATGTATGTTACTGCTGGCTGTTCTTGGTACTGTGTTGATGATGCGTGGTGTTGGCGTATGGTGTTGGTCGATGTCGGTGATGCAAGTTCTTATTGTGTGTTCACGCTGTCCACTATTGATGTGTGGTAGTGTGCTGTGGGTCTTTCGTGGTGATGCTTGCTATTGCTGCATGGTGTTGATGTGTGTCTTGGTTTCTGTCTGTGATGCGTGCTCTTTGTGATCGCTCTTTGTGCCTGCAATTGATGCATGTCTTGCAGGTCTATTGCGTGGCATATCGGTGATTATTGCTTGCCTATATCCTTCATGTGTGCGTTTCATGTTCGTTATCGGTGTTTAGTCCTGATGTCCGTTCTTGATATCTGATATCAAAAGATGACTTTGCTGCTTATTGGTGTATGCCACTGGTGTCGGCTCTAGGTGTATCTGATTGGTGTCTGTTCTTGATGCCTGCCCCCGGTGTACGCTCTTGACGTCTGCTCTAGTTGGTCTGCTCGAGATGCCGGTGTCTTGGGCCACCTTGGGGCAATACTTGGCCGTCTTGGAGCAATTCGGGGGCTGGCCTGGAGACCACTCGGGAGCTTCTGTGGCCAGTGGGGGCAATCCTGGTGGCATATGGAACTGTCTGGGGGGCCAACTGAAGGCCTCCTGGAACTTCGCGGGGCTTCTGGAAGCAGAAGGGCTAGAGAGACAATGCCATTGAACTAACAGTGCTTTCCCTCTTCGACAAGCTGCGGTTGTTTGTTAGAAAGAAAAAGCAAGCCAACTTGACCTTCATACAACGACCGCCAGGTCCTCACAATCCCCGGTGATCCCTGAGTATCCCGCCACGCCAACCTTGCAACTCTAATCGTCGAAATGTTTGCTTTTGTCGCCTTCTGTTTTCCGTCGTTTTTGACATCCAGAAACCGCTTTCGGGTCCCGGGAGCGTCAGAAGCGGACCCAAGATGGAAAAATCCCCCCAGAGGAGTCCTCTGGACGATTCTTCGACAGGATTTGTTGCAAAATCTGCATCTTTTTCCAAAGGTGTCGGGGGGTCCCACCGATTGGTAGCATATCCAGTTTTTGCCATTTCCAATTTCCTGGACGCTTCGTATCACCAACATTCAGGCCCGTGTGCGGTGCCGCAAAACAGATTTCGGAGCCTTTTAAAATGCTCCACGATTTTTTTTTGAAATTCCCGCGCCTAACTTGAACACCAAAACGATGACCAGGCTGGCCCCGATTTCGGCAGGCTTCAATGATGTTCGTACGGGGCTCGGAGCGAACGCGGGGATGCTCGTGCTTCGCGCCCTCGGGGAGATCGCCTGGGCCGCCTCGGTTTTTTCTTGGCCCCTTATTGGGCCCTACTCGGGGCCCTCTTCGGCCTTGGCGCTTCTTGGGCCTTCTTGGGGCCGTCTCGGATCATTTTGGGCAATATTATGAATGCATCTGGCCTCCTGCTGTGCATGGAGTAAGGGTAGAGCCAGCGTCCATATCACTGATCCGTCAATAATGATGGCGGGCATCGATCAGGCACACAGCATACCTGAGCCCACTCGGCAAAGGGATAAAGAGGACATGGGGTGCAATATTAAGTACAAAACGCCCCCCTGCGGGAATGCCTCTCCCTATCATCAGAAAAAGTTCATCCCGTCTTGGAGTCGTGTTCGCCTCTTCCAACGAGAACTGGAGTGGGTGGGCGGTTAACGCGAAGCGTCTCGAATAAAAATGTACTTCTCCACCAATCACTGTGGGGCTGGTTGAGGCGTGGATTCCCCCTCCATTGGCGCCCGCGTGGGTGCTATTGAACACTGCCAGCCCATTTACATATAATTTTGAAGAGGCCACTATCGCGCCGCCATTGCGTCCAGCTCGCGTCTCGTGAAAATAAGCGTAGCCGGTCAAACTGATAACATTGCCACTGATGCCGCCACCAGACTCTCTGGCATAAGAATCGGCAATTGTAATGTTCCCATTCACCGTGATATGAGCAGCATGCACTGCTCCTCCCAGAAAGCCTGTTGTCCGCTGAAAATGCAACCGACCACTAGACAATACAATCAATTCTTCGGTAAACACCCCGCCACCGTTGCCTTCAGATGTGGCGTCCCGAATGTCGACGCTTCCCTCCACGCGCATCTCAGTGCCGCACTCAACGGCCCCTCCATGCGCGTACCCGTCCCCAACTTTAGCGCGTGTTCCTTGAATCTCCAGCAGACCACCTGCAGCTACGTAAATGCCATATCTAGCAGACACCCCACCACCGTTTTGCTTACCTTTTGGGTTGACCACACTCACGCATCCACCCCGAGCAATCGAAATCTCTTGTGCTGCTATTGCCTTGCCACTGGTGTTTGAGACCCGTAGATTACCACCACGTGTGACAGACAACTCGTACTTTACATAAATCGCTGGCATGCGGGAATCCTGTATACTGAGGGCGCTGTTGGCCTTCATAACCAAATTCTTCCCTTCAATAAAAGCGCTTTCCAACGACGAACCACTCGCCAACTGCTTCCCCGTCCCTTGTAGACGGCTGCCCGCGGTGATAAGTATATCGCCAAGCGCTCGAAGCGGAACTCCTTCTGATACCAACGAGCCACTGACCACGATACGAGCTCCTGCGGACAGCGGCGGTGATCCGTGAGACCCATTCCCTCGGAGGATGACATTTCCTTTGAAGACGAGATTGCCCTTCACGACGAAACCTGTCCCATCTACTACAACAACTGCAGGTTCGGCGTCCAGAGGGGGCCCCAGGATTGCGCAATAGTCATTGGTTTGCACACCAGTGAAATAAGTGGCCCCAGGCGTCAGTTCTCGTTGGCACAGTAACTGCAATGCACCTTGCAAGGTCGGCCATAACCTGCCGAATGCTGGCATTCAGAATATAACATTCCACACTCTGGCTACGGATAGCGATGATGATGGTTGGGTCGGAGACATAAGTCCCCCCCCCCACCCCGCTAAACGACTCGTCAACTCCCAAGCTGGCCAAGTAGCTCTCGAGAATGCCTATCTGCAGGTGTACAAGCCGAACGCACCGTAATGAGAAACAGCGGAGATGGCGGTGGCTAAGCATACTGCTCGGGGTATGAGGGATTCCTGCTTTTTCTGTGCAACAGGGTCGGCGGCGATCGGGGGTTCCCCAGGAGTTCTTCGAATTATGAGGGGGCTCCTCTGGGCCATGGATCGGGTCCCTGGGGCTGCCCCAGGGGTTCCCCAGTTGCTATGCAATGCGAGGATCTATGCCATGCCCATGCTCTGCAATGCCAAACTATGCCATTATTGGCGATGCCGTGATTCATGCTGTACATCACAGTGCAATGCTACGACATGCTGCCGTGATATGGATTGTTACCCAACAGAATGCGACATTGTAACATGCGATGTAATGCTGACTTGTGCAATATGATGCTATGCCATGCGTATGCCGTGCAGTACTGCTATTGATATACCATGGCATGCTAGTCGGCCCGGCGCTATGCGTTCATACCATTTGATTGCGGTGCTTTGCGTTACATGGCATCACACTGCCCTACATTGCGCATCTGTGTGACTTCAACAGCGGTGGCTATCCCCACTGGGATAAAGCTGGTCGCAATTTCTCCTGACAGTGCGTGCGCTTAAGGGGTCTGACATCTGTTCTGACCACTTGGCTTGCGGTTCTGACTTTTTTGCCCGGTGACCGCCTGTGGCCGCCTCGCGGGCACGCCGTGTGTTGGCTGGCGGCTCTGGACTTTTCGCTGGTGGCCCCCCGTGACCGCCTCGTGTGTGCCCCGTGCGTGGCAAGCGGTTCCAATCCCACCCGCCCTCTGGGCGAAGGTGGTGTGACGAGATGTTCCCCAAATAGGCTTGCCTACAGTGAAGCTGGAAAAAGTGGAAATTGGAAAATCGGTGAAAGCGGATGTGGCCAGGGCTAGAAACACTGGCAGTGGGTGGAGCGAGCCCGAAACAGTAGGGATGCGGTCGCTAGGGCTAGAACAAATAAAGGGAAACTGGCCAAGGCTGGAACGAGTGGAAAGGCTGACCCCGCTCACTTTTTCCAGCGTCCATATAGAGGAGCCCTAGCTCAGAGCATAAAATAATGGTCCAGTGCCCCCACCCTCAAAGTGGCCTTTGCATCGTCTTGATTCCAATGGCTTCCTCTGCAAATGACCTCCTCTGCTATTCCCTCCGGATTTCTATCGGATGTCATGGAGACCGTGTTAAAGTCCTAGAACATTGTATAGGATTACCCTGGGATCTCCCATAGATCGTTAAGGATTCCTAGAAGGATCGCACCCTGATCGTCGGGGGTTCCTATCGGATTCCAATGTGATCTCTTTGGATTTGTAAGGGATTCGTATCGGTTCCGTACCGAGTCTCAAACTAATCGTATAGGGTGCCTGTAGAATATCATGGGAATCGTATGGGGTCCCGAGAGGACCGCAGAGGGTCGTAAAGGACTCATATCGGACCCCATTGGACTCGTATGGGATTCGGATCGGATTGCGATGGGACCTCGTTGGGATTTTATAGGGTTCCCATGGGATGTCGTAGGACTCGTATCGGATTCTATGGTCTCACTGTAAACGTACAAGACTTCTATTTAATATCGGGTTATTCGTATTGACCCCCATCGGAGTTCGTACGGTTCTTACAAGGTGCGTATAGGATCTCATCAGCATCCTCCAGACTTCCTGGAGTTCATAAGCATCGTCTTGGATTCAGGTCGGATCTCATAGGAATCGTATAGAAATCCCGACTGGATCGTATAGGAATCGTATGGGATATAATCGAGAAGAGCCGGGTAGATGGTACAGGATAATCGGGTACAACATGATGGAGTAGAGTGGAACAGAGTGAAGTATACTAGAGTATAACAAGGTAGAGTGGAGTAGAGTACAATAGAGGAGAGTATAGTAGGAATGCAATCCAATAGAGTGGGGCTAAGTTAAAGTAGGGTAGCGTAGATAGAGTAAGGTAGACGGTGAAGAGCCGGATACGATCGAGTATAAACAAATAGAGTGGATTAGAGTAAGGTAAAGTGGAGTTCACTCGTGTACAGTAGCGTAGGATAGAGAAGCGTCGAATATAATAGAGCAGGGCAACGTAGTGTAGCGTATAATCGAGTCGGTATAGTTCTTTATTTGGAATCAGCGCTGGCTGATCTTTTCTTCCCTCTTCCAAACCCTTCCTTCCCCTGCTCGCCCCTCCCCTTCTTAATCTACACCCCTCCCCCACCCGAACGGCGACAGCGACAAACCCGGGATCATGCCGACCCCACCACCAACCTCTGTCAGCAACAATACAAAGTGCACTTTGCAGTCGAATCTGGATCATGCGCGGACGCCCCGCGATCACTTTGCATTGGTTCTTGGCAGGGACGGCGGGGGTGCCCTCATACTGCCTGCTGTACGCAATGCAGACACCCCTCCCCACCATCCCTTGACGAAATCGACGCAGCGTGCACTTTGCACCAACGTCGGGATTCTGCGCGGCCGCCCCGCGATAATTGTGCATGGGTTTTCGAGGAGGACGGGGGGGGATGGGGAGCAGCATGCTGCCCTCTGCGCGCAAAGCCAACCCTCCCAGCAATTCCTTGCACGAGCATGCCACAACATGCGCTCTGCACCGACGTCTGGATCCTGTGCGCACGCCCCGCGGCCACTCTGCACTGGCTTGTGACAGGGGCGGCGAGGGGGGGGGCAGCGTGCTGCCAGCTGTGCGCAGGCCTACCACTAAGTCGGGCATGTCCCCCTGCAGGCGGACTCTTGACGAAAGACCAAAGATACCCGAATCATATTCAAAACTTATAAAACATAACCAAACATCGTCCCCAGACGATTTCATTGATTATTTCTGAATATATTCCTCCTGTAGAGGGACATGCCCGACTTGAACCTACCACCCCTTCCAGCAGAACGTGCAGAGCTCACTTTGTCAGGAAAGAGGGGGGGGGGGGAAGGGGGGGCGGCATGCTGCCTGCTGTGCGCAGGCCCGCCACCCCCGTCACACAGCACACGCAGCATGGTCTCGGGTGCACGCCCGCAGGCGATACACAGTGCTCGCAAGCCCGCCGTCACTTTGCATTGGTGTTGACAGGGACGGTGGGAGGATCGACGCATTGCCTAAGGTGGTGCACCTGCTGGCATGTGCGGTGCACCTCGCAGACTTCCCGCGCCTGGCTGGCGTTGCATTCGTTCCCGGCCCCTGTCCATGCTGAGACTCGAGTGGCAAAATGCAATGTTGGGAGTGCGGGTGGGAGTGAGCAAGACGGTTTGTTGGTTGTGGGTAGCTGGGCCGCAACATATTATCAATGCGCACCCCTCCCCCGCCCGACCGGCGACCACCCGACCAGCGACCAACCCGGGACCATGAGGCCCCCCCGCCAACTCTGTCAAAAAAAACAGAATGCAAAGTACACTTTGCGGCAAAATATCGGGTCGTCATGGTAGGGGCCCCGCAAACACTTTGTATGTTTTTCGGGGCAAGGACGGCAGGGGTGCCAGCATATGGCCTGCTGTGCGCAGGACCACCATGCCCGTCAAAAACAATACACGAAATGCACTTGCGGCAAAATCGGGATCATGCGCGGGCACTCCGCGATCATCTCACATGGTTTTCGACACGGATGCTGGGGGTGCTAGCATTTTGCCTGCTGTGCGCAGGCCCACTAGACATCATGATGGCCACTCCGCCGTTGTTGCGCATCGGTTTTCGACAAGGACGGTGTGGGCCGACACGTTTCCCGATCTGCGCGGGCTGGCACACTCTGCGCGTGCTCCGGACGTGGCCCACCTGGCGCGACGGGAGCGTGCGACACACTTGGCGCATCTGGCCCACCGAGCGTGCCCGGCACGCTTGGGCCCCAGGGGCGCATGGCGCGCCCTGTGCGCCTGGCGCGCCTGGCACGCGTGGCACACCTCGCCCCAGCGTCCCGCACCTGGGGTCTGTCTTGGTTCCCTGCGTAGCTGTCCATCCAAAGACGACCGCTGAACATGCTGAGACTCGGGCATCACTTATGTGTTGGGAGGGCGGGTGGGATTGAGCCAAGCAGTTACGTCTGGGAGAAATGTTTTGATCACTGTTCCTGATCCATATGCACCCTCTCCCCCACCCGACCAACATGCCCCCCCTCCATTTTTTCAAACAGCACTACAAAGTGCACTTTGCACCAACATCTGGATCATGCGCGGACGCCCCGCGATCACTTTGCATGGTTTTTGACAGGGACGAGGGGGGGGGGGCAGCATAATTGCTTGCTGTGTGCATAGCCAACACTCCCAAATCATTCCCAGCACCCGAAAGAATACAACATGCACTTCGCACCAAAATCTGGATCATGCGCGAACGCCCCACGAGCACTTGCGTTGGTTTCTGGCAGGGGCGGCGGGGGGCGGGCATGTTGTCTGCTGCGTGCAAAGCCAACATTCTTCAATCATCTCTTGCAAAAAACAATACCAAGTGCACTTTGCACCAAAATCTGCTGACCCTGTCGGCGTGTGCGAGATGCTGTTTCATTTGGCTCGTCGTCGTCGTCGCCGCCGTCGCCGCCCCCCTCCCCTTTCCCTGGGCCCTCCTCCTTAAGCGCACCAGCGATCTGGATCATGCGCGGACGCCCCTCGATCACTTCGCATTGGTTTTTGACAAGGACGGCGGGGGTGCTGGCATACTGCCTGCTGCTTGCAGGGCCACCACCCCTTTCAACAAATACTCCGACGTGAGGACCCCGCATAAGTATCTCTGCAACGCTAAAGAAACTCGTCACCGCTAACAACTAGCGATTGCGATGATGCCAAGATACCAGAATGCGTGGATGCGACCTGCGGGACCTTCAGGACCCGTGAGGGCTGTGCGACCTGCGGGGCTTGTTGGACCTTTGGGGGTTATGGGGCCTGTGAGACCAATGGGACCTGCGAGCCCTGTGCGACCTGTGGGACCTGTGGGACCTGCGGGCCCTGTGGGGCCGCTGGGAACTGCCGGACTTGTGGGACCAGTGGGGCCTGTGGGACCTGCGGTGCCTGTGCGGCCTGTGGGGCTTCTGGGCCTGTGGGACGTGTAGGACCTGCGGGGCCTGTGGGGCCCTTGGAGCTTGTGAGGCCTGTGGGCCCTGTGAGACTTGTGCGACTTGCGTGCGGGGCTTGTTGGACCTGTGGGGCCATTGGGACGCACGGGCCCTGAGAGACGTGTGGGACCAGAGGGGCCCCTGGAGCAGGTGGGACCTGCGGGACCTGTAAGAGTTGTGGGGGTCGTGGAACCTTTGCGACATGCGGGGCCTGTGCGACTTGTGGGTCATGTCAGGCTTGTGGGACCTGTGGGGCCAGCACGACACGTGCGACCAATGAGATCCGCGAGACCTGTGCGCCTCGTGCAGCATTTGGGGCCGGAGAGGTTTGTTGGGTCTGCTCGACTTGTTCGGCTTGAAGGACCTTTTTTTTGACATCCCAAGAACGTCGAACCACCATTCGCCTCTTCGCGCCAGAGTGAACCCTACCTCGGCGGGGAAGCGGGGAAGCTGGACTGCCGATTTCCGCGTCCACTCCGTCGTCGACACAACAAGGTGAGCAGGACAGTGTAGCGCCACGCGAAGAGGAGGAGGGGGAGGAGGAGGACCTGTGGGACCTGCGTAGCCTGTGCGCCCTGTGGGGGCCCATGGAATTTGCGGGCCTCCTGCTCGATACATCTGCACAGTTCACCCACACACGAGGACCCCGCTCGACACGTCCTCGCGATCTGCCTCCCGGGGGTGCTCAAATGCAGTGTCTGCCACAACACGGAGACGGTCCGCGGGGACTGCAAACATGTAGGGCTCCCGCTCGAGACTTCTCAAGATGCCCCCCAAGAGGCCCCAGGAGGCCCGCAAGAAGCCCAGGAAAACACCCAAGAGGCTCCGAGGAAGCCCCCAGGAGACCCCAAGAGGGCTTCAAGCGGCCTCCTCTTTTCTTTCCTCCTCCTCCTCCTCGTCCTCGTTGTCCATCTCCTCCCTCTCCTCTTCCCTGCTCTTCCTCTTTCAACTGTTTCACCAAGGGGTTACACGACGGCTGGGAGAACACATAGTCCAAGAGCTTGGCCAGACTTCGACCCAATGTTTGGCAACATTGGTATTTCCAGACGGCAGGCGGCGGAGGTGTTTTGCCGTAAGCGTCGTCGATCCGCCGTCCCTGATGCTTGCCACAAGGGCGCTGTCGTGCCAAATCTACTAGTTATTTCAGATGTGGCAATATGGCCAGTATGGCTTTACTATGGCCCAGATGGCTCCAAGATGGTCCCAGATGGCCTCAAGACGGTCCAGGAGGCCTCCGACACGACCCAAGAGGTCTCCAAAATGTCAAAAGAACCACAGGACTGCCCAAGAAGCGCCCAAGAGGGTCCCAACAAAAGCCAAAAAGGCCACAAGACGGCCCAACAGGTTCCTGATACTGCTCCCAGACGGCCTCAAAGACATTCGAGACGGCCCTCAAACGCTCAAAAGAGCCCCAAGACGGCCCAAAAAGGCTCCAACCCCAATACGGCCTCCGAAGGCGTCAGACGGGCCAAGAGAAAGCCACAGGACGGCCCGAAATGCTCCCAAGATGCCCCCAAAGGCCCCCCAAGAGACTTCAAGAGGCCCTAAAAATGCCCATCAGAGATCCCCAAGAAGCAACCAGGAGGCCCCAGGAGGGCCCCGCACGAGGCCTTTTCCGCCTCCTCCTCCTGTTACTTCGATTCCTTCGCCAACTGTTCCCCCAAGGGCTTCCACAACGCCTGGGGGAACACATCGTCCAAGAGCTTAGCCAGACTTCGGCTCAACGTTTGGCCGCATGAGCGTTCCCCATAAGCTGCGGGTGGCGCTGGTTCGCCGTAGATGTCTTCGATATCAACTGTCATGGCACGCGGTGTGCAACTGTAGACGGAAACAATTAGTGGACCCCCCCCCGCTCCCCCAAACTCAAGTTGGCACGCGCGGGGAAGACTTCGGTCGAAGTGCAGCTCGTTCAACCCACCGCCAACATTGATCATTGGGGGGGCGTTGACAGGTAAATGCGCCACGAGTGTTCGCTAATTTCTTTCGAGGCCTGAATTGAATACGCCCGCTGCAGCCGAATAGCCATGCCGTTGCTGCTCCTGCTCCTTCTGCTCCTACTCCTCCCCCTCTCCCGCCTCTTCCTCCTCCTCCTCCTCCGCCTCCTTTTCCTCCTCCTCCGCCTCCTCCTCCTCCTCCGGTCCCAAGCGGGGGCCTGGCACCATTCTCGTAGTGTCAGTGCCATATTTGCTCTGGGGCGCACCAGCAGGTTCCAAGGAAACGGTGATGCGGGAACGGGAAGGCGGCCGCCTCTTTCAGGACGAGGATGAGTTTGGCTCCCGCGCATCCTGGTCAATGCGGTCTGAACTGAACCTTGGCCCGCTGCCGTGGCGTCAACTGCAACAACAATCGTGCTTTTCCGGGACGGTTGGTGCCGTTTGGCACGTGAACCCCATAGGGCTTCGCGCCCACTCCCAAACGCGGATCCTTGGCGGGTTCGAGATCAGTTCACTCACCCAGTGTCATCGTGGACCCCATTTGCACGTGCCCGTCTTCTGTTACCCCAAGCTGGCCCTGCTGCTCGTTGAGCATGCGGCTTAAAATCGTAAGCAGGTGAACCGTGCCAGCACAGCCCCCGTAGAGTCGGGTGAACCATGGCTGCAGGGAACCGTCGGCGGGGCAGCGAGTCACCAGGCGACCAGCCCCCCTTATGCCCGGTGTCACCTCCTCGTCATTGCGGCATGACGCATGACCGCATGAGACATAAACATTGGTCCCAAACAATGGTCCTCCTCCTCCTACTCAAGGGCTCCCAACTTCGCGCTTCGCGCTCCGCGAAGCGCGAAGCGCGAATAACTTCGCGCCCTCGCGCCGCCCCCCCAAAGGGAGAATAGGAGGACGAGGAGGAGGGGGAGAAGGAACGAGGACCGCGAAGCGCGAAGCGCGAATAACTTCGCGCCCTCGAGGGAGCCCTTGAAACAATGGTCCTCCTCCTCCTACTTCCCCTTCTCTTCCCCTTCCTCCTCCTCACCTCCTCCTCCTGCCTTCTCTCCCTCCTCCTCCTCCTCCTCCTCCTCCTCGTCCCCCTCCCCGTCCCCGTCGGCCGTCGGCCGTCGGCCGCCGTCGGCCGTCGTCGTCGTCGGCCGTCGTCGTCGTCGTCGGCCGTCGTCGTCGTCGGCCGTCGTCGTCGTCGTCGTCGTCGTCGTCGTCGTCGTCGTCGTCGTCCCGTCCTGCCCCTCCTCCCTCCCCCGCCCCCTTTGCCCCTTCTCCCCCCCCCCTCCCCCCCACCCCCTGCCTCGCACGCCCCCCGCCCCTCCCCGCCCTCGCTTGCTTTCCCGAGCGGCGCTCTCCTCCGCGGCTCCCCCTCTGGGGCACCGCCTCCCCCGCAGCCTCGGCCGCGCCACGGGGGGGCGCCGGGCACCCGCGCGCGGGGGACCGATGGGTGCGGAGGTGCCAGGGCGCCCGCGGCCGAGGGGCAGCGCTCTCGTGAAGCGGCCTAAAGGGGGCATAAGCAACTCTACACAGGCTACAAGATTTCCAACGCACACACAACATACATGTGTATATATATATATATATATGTATATGTATGTATGTATGTATATATATATATATATACAAGACTGCAGCGGCGCTTCGCGCCATGCACCTTGGTCCTTGAAGTTTGGTATGCAGGCGGAATCGAAGGATGGTGAAGCCGACAATTGAGCGATAACTCCTGGTTGCCTTTTCCGGCATCGCCGCTATAATAATGTAATTCGTTATCTTCCCTCCATGTTTCGTTTTCCTTATGTTCGCCATACCCTGCGCATTCTCCCCATCCTCCTCAGCTCCTTTTTGCGGAGGCTCCTCCTCGGAAAGCCTCTAGGGGCCTCACAAAAGTTGCTTCAGGCTTTCTTCAGGCCTTCTGGAGGCCTCCTGGGCGTACTCTAGGGGCCTCCGGGGGCTTCCTCGGGCCACCCTGCCTCCAACCGCAGTCTCCCTGAACGACCGAATCACGATTTG